TCCAAGTGCAAGGAAAAGTCTGATCTTTTTTTTTTCGAATCAGAAAAGTCATCAGCTGGAAATTTTGATGGATCAATCCATTACACGGTTCTGGATAGAAACATGAAATTACTTTTCAAGTCTTGCTTTGTTCTAATTTTCGACCTCAAACTTTGATTAACTTATTAATTTTGTAGCTTTCAATCCATGGATTATATTTATAGCAAAAAATGTAGCTGCGTTAGTGTTGCAGGTTGTTTTTTATATGTGCCTACACAGTTGCTTTGCCCGAATTTCGCCACTCATCCTCATTTTTAAAGTCATTGCAATGACAGTAACAGTAACATTTTTCTACGTTTCTTCAGATCCTGCTTCATTTGAATCATTAAACAACAGTTGCAGTTATATTAGTGTTTCTCAAGCAAGCTTCTACTATTTTTTGAAATTAATCCGGAATTGTTTTCGCGTCATTGTTTTTTGTGTTTACAACATGAACTGCCAATAAAATTTTGAATTTTCGAGCACTGCGACGAAATGTGCCACTGAATCCCAATTTTATTACTGAAGTTAGTAGGTCAGAAGGTGAAGCGGGAGAGATCAAAGCTGCTTTTATTTACCCAAAAGTGGTCATTCTGTAACGATTTAGTGACCGGTCACGCCAATACGGTGTGACGCAATGCGTCGCCTTGTCAATGGAATCGTGTGTTGGTCATAGTCATTCCTGTGTCACTGAATATGCTAATTTCGCGCCAGCTTGTCAAAGCTCTTCCGGCTGAGTATTGCGTAACTGCAGGAGTTCAGGCAAGTAATACCCCACACGCAACTTTGACAACTGACGCTGTTTGCTAAATTTATAAAATGGGACTCCTTCTGGCACCGAACGCATACACCTAACAAATGCTAAGATATAATCCAGGAAGTCCGTGTAGCGCCTGTTAGCTAAAGGAAACTAGTCAATCGCTTACGCTTAAGCGTTACGTGACGGCGAGAGGTTGAAGATGACTCTAAATATTGTTCTTAGGCAGTGCCCTCATCGTTTTCAAGAGTGAAAATTAGCGGCATTGTATATCCTTAGGTAAATCTTGGTGTGCTGCAGATCACTGCACATTATTCATTCATTTCAAATATTCTGAAATCCGAAGATAGCATTGCGTTTTTGTGCTTGATGCTTAAACGATCATCAAGAGAAGATCCCGTGAAAGTATTTCCACAATGCTGTTAAACAACGATGCTACAGTGACCGGTAAGGCAAGCCCCTTCATTTTATTTCACTGCTAGCTTCCACTAAGCACTCGCCTTCATGCTTACACTGACCAATTTTTCTCCATGGATATACAGAGAGCAGAATGTTTACAAAAGAAGTAACCTACTGCTGATTTGCTATGAAAAAATGTATCAGGGCACGTTACTGAAAACGGAGCAGCTATGGATTAGCCATGTTCGGTTGCTGTATGCAGTGGCATGCATTTTGCCAAAAAAATGCTACAGGGCCGAATCCAGAAGGTTGAATTTTCACATGATATAGAAAAACAGCTATATCAAAGTGCTGCTGTCGGAGAAGCCACCGAATTGATAGGAAACGAAACGAACGCCAGGAGTGCTAGCAGGCTGACCAATAAACAATGAAGCACCGTTCAGAGAAAATGGAAAATTTGCCAACTGCATAGTTTAAAAACAACGTTATGAAGCACTCGTATCAAGGTGCAGTAAAAGAGATCCAGTCGAGTTTGCAGGTGCGTTTTTTTGCTAGAAAACAATATATATATATATATATATATATATATATCTGTATTTGTATATAACCCCTTCCACTCTGCGTTCAAAAATTTCGGATGGTAATCCAACACAGTCTGACCTGATGTATCCAGTCAGCTTAGACAAGTGCAGCTATATAGTTTCCAGGTATCTAAATTATGTTATGTTGTTCAAGGGATTACAATTACAGTGACACGTGTTGCTGAGATCCAATTACATCAGCCAGCCACAGCACGGGATCACGGTTGAGGTCATTTGCATTTCACATCCTCGTTGGGCACTAATCACCAAACACTGCTGGCTCACTATAACAGTGTAGCTTAATTCTTCCCATATGATTCTGTCCAAAGCACGAAAATATAGTGATCCGACGAAAAATGATTTACACTCATTTCTTGATCTCACTTTATATACCCGCTCACCCCCCCCCCCCCCCCCCCCCCCCCCCCCCCCCCCCCTC